ATGGTATTGTGATTCTAATCAGCAGATCCCAAGGCCATAAACTTCAAAGAATCTTTGCAATGTGAATTTCCCCTGTTTCTGAGAGTCAGTTTGCAAGATAAAATGTGGGATCTTTCAAAGACAGAGAGATGGGTATCTACAGGTACCCGGGTCCAACCTGCATATTTAGGAGCACCAGTACTTTTTTTCTAATTCAGTGATAAAATCCAGATGGTCAATCAGAGCAGACGATCTGTTAGGCATGAATAATTTCACCAGTCCTGTGACTTTCCTGTTAAGCATCTCTAGATGGGCATAAATATACAAACTGCAGTGACTCACAGCACAGACACAGAGAGCAATGAATGCTAAAAAATACTTTTTGATCTATATTATCTTAGAACAATTCAGAGACTTTTAAATTATTTTCTACAAAATTATGCTTATTTAGTATACAGGATCCTTAAGCAGGGGTGTAACACTGTACCAGCAAGGAAAAGAAAAGGGAAAAGTTGGCTTTATAAATTATCCTAATCATAAAAACTGAATGCCAGTACAACTGCCAGGGCTTTCTGGAAGTGAAGGAACTGTGAACTGATGGCATGAAATCTTCCAGGTAGAGTGGTAACAGTGCAGCAGCAACTTCCTCAGCTGAGATCTCCTGAGGGCCTGCAGACGATTTCCATGGATACAGTTACTCCTTCTCCTGACAGAAAGGACACCCTCCCTCCGGAAACTCCTTCACATAAAATACCAGAGGAATCTCCCTGCAAGTTCATTTACAGTGAAACTCCACAAACACTTACATCAACACTCCTCAGAGAGCCCTGCAGGAGAAGGAGATGCTGCGGGGGAAGGAGATGATGGGAATTCCATTGCCTTTACGAGGCAGGAATATCTATTTCTAGGTATTATTACAAGAGCTGGGTCCATCTCAAGTTTAAGATGTAAGCCAGTCATGCTTTAAGATTTTAAGACAAAGACTACCCAGTCTTTTGTCTATATGCATCTGTTCCAGAACAATTTTCTCTGGTTTTCCCCCTTTCCTTATGCATCATGCTAGAGTAGTAAAACTACAGCACTGATGAGATGGGTAGTGATGGGGCAGTGTTGCTAATGGATATTTTTTGTGACTGGAGGATTTAACTCCTCGTGCAAAGCCAGGAATTACAGACACCTTCATTTAACTTTAGCTTCACTGTCTCAGTTGAGAAGAAAAACCTAAACCACACAATCAGTCTTAAAGCTGTTCTTATCTTACTATAAAACTACATAAAGAACATCTTAACAAAAAATTTCCATTTTCTTTTCCTTGTAAAATTTTCCATTGTCTACAATAAAGCAGCATCAAAAAAAAAAAAAAAAAAAAAAAAAGGGAAATTTGATGCGGCTTCTTAAGCAACACCCATCAACACCATGGCTGTAATTCTGCTTTCAGTGGAATCTGCCTCCTCCCAAAAGCAGTGACATCTTCTCTCCCCACTTTTCAGAACAGGCCAATATTGCCCCCAACCTGAGGATTTGCTTCAACTTGCTTTCCAGCCCTTCTGAAGTGTGATCCAAGTTCCCATGGTTATGAAGGCAATCCAGCAATCTCCCTCCCATCACCAAGCACTAACCCATCTTTTCAGTCATCTCATCACTGTAGCAGGATTCAGGAAATTAAACTGTAGTTAATGAATTTAAATGTACTCCAGCCAAAGGGGTTTGCTTCACAAAGAAATGTGAAGCATTGTCTACCACCTGAGCCAAAAGGCATATAAATAACTTTAATCTGTTTTTATAAAATGCAAAAATAACAGCAAAATACTACTCTTCAGCTATTTTTGAAAGCCATAATTTTTACCATTTGTAGAAATTACTAAAAATCTGCACTCGATGACATTCTTACTAATGTTGATGTCTGTGTGCTGTGCATGGAATGTCCCCTGGCTTTCTGCTCGGCTTCTGCTTCCCTTCCAATTCTTCTTTCCTGTCCATCCCCTGTCTTGATTCCCCAGTCTCCTCTGAGATTAGACAAAGAGCTTTCCAAAGGCAGGAAATACCTCTAAAATGCTACTGACTGCCAGGAAGCAGCTTCAGTCACAAATCCTTCTACGAGTTCAACTGAACACGGACTTTTTTTTCAACTAAGAGTGCGACAAGGTTGGTATTTTAGCCATCACAGATGGCACAGACACACTCAAAGAGCACACTGAGCACCTGGGCCATGTTCTACTTAGAGATGCAGCTGCTGAGAGTATCAAGACAACATAATCCACTATTTGATGAGACAGGTCCTTACAGTCAGAAGCTGGGAAGGCCTTTTTATGCCTTTATGCAAAGTTATGTAATTCATGCAACCTCAAATAAAATTGTAATAAGGAAACAACACAAGATAATCACGCCCAGAAGTAGTCATTAAAGCACTTCATCCCTGTAGGATTTTTTAAAAGGTCATATAGACATTTCCCTAATGACAGCGTTGAAGTTACTCTTGACAAGCTCACATTCATTAAACAGCCTCCTGTCCTAGTCACAAAGATATGATAAATCGACACGGGTCTGAATTACCTTCTCTAAATAACAGGTTACACAAGTAAAAGATTACAGAAAGATTTATTCAAATCCAAGTTTCAAATGTCTTCTCTCCATTCTACACATAAATGCAAGTTAAGGAGGCAAAGGCAGAATTTAGTCTCAGATCAAGCAGCTGCGTCTGCCAATGTGAAATCAACTTAAATAACCAGAGGGTAACCAAGTCCATATATACAGGAGTGACAGAACAATAGGAGATTAATTTCCAACCTCTTAAAAAAAATAACCAAAAAGTAAATAAAAAGATTTTTAAATGCCTTTTTTATTTAAAATGCCTTTGTTCTAGGCAAATACCAATTGTCTTCAAGTCAGAAAATAAGCTCAGCTGTGCTGCGCAACAGTTCCATTAACCTTGCAATCAAGCATTAAATTCAAGTGCCTTGTTTGGATTTCCCTGCTGCAGGGGAAAATGTACCTTTCTAAGGTCTGTGCTTTATGTTACCAGAGCCAATGAGCAAAAGCCTCACAACTAAACTTCTACAATTAAAAACACAAGAAACTAAACAAGCAAGCATATTGCAAGAATTCCTCTGATAACTTTTTAATGATTAACCTCATACTCACAGGTTCACAGTCTTTCACACTTGTTCTCCCATGCATTCAATTAACATCTGCTTTGAACAAGTTAAATATAATCTTAATATGTTTTCTACATGTTCCAGTAAAGCAACTCAGCACTCCTGCTCACTGCTCCCATTCACAGAATGAAGAAAACAGTTACTGCCTTTTTTATTCAACTCTTTTTTTCTTATGCCCATTTTCACCTTGAAAAACTGCTGCTCAAACTAAAATTAATTTTTTTTTCTTTTGTTTAAACTGCACAGCATGGTCACCCAGCAAGCAAAGAGGAGCTCTTTTTAAATCACTGTCCTATTGTCAGAAACCTCTCACCTCCTGCATAAGGTGAGTAGCTTTATATTCTAAACAGAAAAGACTAAATCAAAGCAGCACAGAGCAAAATCACCAAGGGTAATTATTCTGTGATCCTGTGTCGCAGATAAATCACCAGCCACACAGAGAAGGGATTGTGTGCAAAGTCCGACCCCTCCACATGAACTGAAAGGATGATTTTCCAAGCTGAAACAACTGACAAACTGAGGATTGCATTTCAGTGGGTCACAGTCCCAGTCTAGGTGGAGTACATTTAAACACACAAATAATCTCTCTTGTCAAATGTACCTAATTGGTACCTGATGTGTTGTGTCTTCGGGGAAGGAGCTCAGCGAAGGAAAAGTGTTGCAAAGCACAGAAAACTTTGGAAGGGGGAAGGAACCAAGGAGGAGGAATGTTATCACTGGCTCTCCACAAGTCTGACAGTTGGTTGAACAATAATATACTTTATCTCAGACCAATGCTGTGTTTTAAACCGATGCCTGTGTTACTGTGGCAATGGTCAGAAGCCATAGCAGGGGAAGAGGATGATACTTTAGATTATTGCATCACAAGGTGGCAATGCCTTCACCCACAGCACCAGCAGGGAGGGCTGGTTGGGTTTCAAGCCGCAAATTTCAGAGAGAGATACGAGCTCCTGAAAAAACCCAGGCATATTTTACTACTGGCAAGCATATGCTGACTTGTAATTCAAACCGAGCTGGGATTCTCTGCGAGGTTTTAGTTCTTTTGTTTAGATTTACCATCCTGCTCTCTACTAATATCACGAGGATGCCGAAGCAGATTTGGTAGAGCCAGCTTAGAAAACAAGGCCAAATTCTCCACCACTTGCATTTCCTTAGGAATAAAGGCATCACTATGAAGGAAGTGTCATATCAAGCTCAGTCAAGTGCATTATGCCCCAGGAATGACTTATTGATAACAAAAAAACTTTAAATTCAGGTATTGGTTCTAACACGTACCTCAAAATTCATATTTTATACTCAGAGGCCCCTCATGGAAGAAAAAGGATATGGGTCACTTACTGCATCAACAGTAACACTCATCAGGGTTTGGAAGGGAAAGAAGCAGCTATATGCTGATGACATTAAAAGTAACAGCATTTAACCCAGTTATCTGAGCTCCAACAGAACATATCCATCTCCCTGGGTTCTTTTCTAATTGCGCTCCCATAAATTACGGATTTTCAGTCCCCTAATTCTTGATCTTTGGCCTTAGCTGTTCACACTGAATCACTGGACTTGGAAGAATCAGTGGAAATCAGGACAGGATTAGGTCTTTTGTACTTCAAACACTACTAAAATAGAAGCTTTACGTTTCCTTGTGCTACATCCTGTCCGCAAAAACCCAGAGGAGATTTCAGCAAGGCAATCAGAAGACATAAAATCAGCATTTATCCCGGCACCTCTGCGAACACATAACACAAAAAAAAAAAAATGGAGAAACATACATCCCCAGGCTCAGCCTCTGAATCCCCAAAGCCATTTAATCTCTCTCAAGAGGTCCACGGTGCGGTGGACACAGTGGGAATTGCACCACGGCTGAGGCCTTACCTGTCAGCATCCCCGAGCCCCAGGGACGTGTTCCGCTGCAGCGTCTCCCGCACCGCAGCCATTCCATCGGGAAGCCGGTTCAGCCTCCTGGTGTAGAGGCCCAGACCTCCATCAGTCATGTACCTTGGGCACAGCAAAACAAAAAGTCAGGCTCAGTAAAACCATCCAAATGTGACATTTCATTGCGGCCCCCGTTTTCTGCGTGTCTTTAACTGCGGGTTGCGCTTTCCCCCCGCTTTTAAACCAAGGATAGGACTTGGAATTGGAAGCAAGGAAAACTTTATTCTTCATCAGATCAGAGATGATTTTTGCCTCTCATCGCTCTCCATTACACTCTCTCTCATCACTAAGAATTGAATTTCAACATAAATGTGATAAAGGAAGAAGACACTTCACTTTCATTAAGGATGCCTACATGGAAGTAATTTAATATTGTGAATGCTACCATTAATGATCCCTTCCTGCCCAAAAAAAGACATGGTTTATGCCATCCTGGATTTTTCTGCACGGGCTAAAACAACACAATTGAAATCTCAAACCTTCACAAACCAGCTACAAAAATCACATTGAATTCACCCCTGGATTTGGTCAGTGATCCATGAACATTAAGTATCCCACGATTTATAGAAATCAAAGTTGCAGCATGACTGAAAAGTTTTTTTCAACCTTGTGATATAGTTAGTGAATAATATATTTTAACATATTAACAGGGAAATTAAGACGTTACTCCAGTCTTGCCTTCTTGAATAACTTCTCAACCAGATGCCCTACACCAATGTTTCAATGACGTCTTAAAATACTTCGTGGCATTTTACGAGAGTAGTAGGTCAACAGGTGTCAAGATAAAACAGGAGGATTTTTCTCTTGGTTTAGGCTTCATTTCTTTAAGTATTCTGACTACAGATACATGCAAGAGCTTTAAACTGGAAAGGCAAGTCCCATTTCACCTCTAAAGACATTGGCATGGAGTGGGCTCTGTGCTACCACCACCAGTTCATCAGCCCACGCAGATCTCCATGAGCAGCACTGACAGCTGAGTGAACAGACCATTAGGATTTTCACACACCTGAGGCTGAAATAACTCCAACAGGCCCAGCACTATGGTCGCTGTTTCCAGCATACTGCTGGACACCTAACGTACCTCAGCGAGTTCAGAGCTGACGGGGTTGTGTCTTCTCCATCCTTCAGCCACTCAGCAAATCCACAGCAGCCCACAGAATAATATCCAGACACTCAGGACACCTTCCCTCTTGCTTAAAAAACAGCACAGAGCTTTCTCCCTGACAGGGAGACACCCTTATCCACAGCAAGGAAGGAGAGATGCTCTGAGCTGCAGCCAGCACCTTTATAAAAGTGGGATGGTGAAGAGTCGGGAAGCCTTGCCCAGTCTGCTGGGTAGCATTTCACTTACATGTATAAATAAATCTGCACAGAGCCATCCCAGGAGTCTCTGTGGAGTTTAACGAAGAGTTTGTTGCTCAGCCAGTCAGAGCAGACACAAGAGTATTCTCCATTCAGCAAATCTGTGGGGACTGACTCTCCAAACTCGTAAACAAAGACTGTGAAAAGCATGTTTACAGTTGCCCTGTAAACAAGTGGAATTCGCCTTAGGTCTGGCATTCTAACTTCTGTTTGACAGTTTATAAATATTTTATCGTGGAAGAATATTTTTTTTTTTCCCCTAAGCTACTAAAATAAAGGGAAATAAGAGAGAAGCAGAGCTTAGGACCACACTGTTATACCAACATGCAAACAGCATTTTGCAAAAGCATCCAATGTACACACACTAATTGCTTTAGTGCAGCTGCTTGTCTGCACATGAAACACATTTCTGTGTGAGATACCCATTGCACACGTATTGGAAAATGAAGCCTTTTAGCTCTGCTGTCAGATTTCTGGCATATGATTAGCCCTTTAACAAAAGAGATCTACTACAGCCAAAATACACTGTTTTCCCTACCTATTACTCGGAATATGTGAAAAATAAATACGTTACTTCCAAGAGTTAGCCATGCCGAAATCAATGCATTTTCACCAGCATCAGCATATTTCATGTTCTTACACAGAAGCTCAGCAAGCTCAAAGATGAGAATAATTCTGCAGGTGCATCAAACTGAAAACTAAAGAGTCAGGTTTTTATTGCTTTCAAGCACTGATGAATCTTACATTAAGTCAGTGGAAGTTGGATGTCTTTGGCCATAACAGTTTTTCTAACCAAGACCACGGGAAAAAGCACAGACATAAATGATGACTTTCAGCCCCCACACCACTAGGACGAGTTTCTTACATGCCAGAACAACACAAAGGTACATCTTTGTATTTGGAAACAGGCTTGTGTAATCACAGTTTGAAAGCTTTATATCTTATTTTTATTTCACGCAATATCCTCTACCCACAAATGTTTAATTCTGAAAGAAGCCAAAACCAATGACGCCTTCTCAGTCCTGCACGCAACAGTGAGGTGAAGGAAGAAGGAAAGGTACTACTTCTAAAGTTTGGGGAGAAAAGCACATTTACAATGAATATACTTTAAAATAAATTAAAAAAAAAAAAGTTCTCTACTATCCATTTGTTAGTACAGAGGAGATTAAAAGTTACCAGTGCCACAAAACTCCAACCATTGCTTTCTTTTTCTTCCTCTCCATCCCTTCAAACTTAAAACTGTCTTGGCTCTAAGAAACTGTCTTGCCTTTATGAATACATTACTACTGCTGTAGATATTTGCTTTATGAGAAATGAGAATATAAGGAAGGCATATTTTTCTTAAGACAACCTTACAACGTTTGACTTGGGGAGGGATAAAACTAGGAAATATTATCCTGGATATAATTGTAACAGTACTCAATGTTACCTGAATTTATTGTCCTATCACACCCACACAATATGGAACACAAGAATATCCTCTACAATGACCCACCACAGTTCAAACAATTGTATTAGGCCAGTTATCAATTAGGGGTAATTTATTTGACTTTTCTTCTTAAAAAAAAAATCATAAACTTGCACTAGATGCCTTGCTAACTTCATGACTCCTAAAAACTCTGCCAGCTCACTCAGTGCAAAAAAACTCCAGGGCTTGGAAGTATTTTTTCATCTGTCCCAAAATAAGAAAAAGTTTAAACATATGATCTGGGGAAGAGTGTCATATCCAGACTCCAACTTTCATACAGATGGGTAAACTCCACAAAAAATTCAATCTCACACATGCTTTAAGAATGGTACCAAAGGCCAGTGGGGAATGACTGCCTTTAATGAAGTTGAATGTAATAATATTTAATGAATGGACAGTGACACAGTGATGACATTGGTTAAAAGGAGTTTCTAATCTTTCCAGGAATCAATGTTTAAATATTCATCGCTATAGTTTCACTCTTCATCAGCAAGGAAAAGAAAATAACCAAACTCCTGTCGATATGAAAAGAGTCAGGTTAAACAAGAGAAGTATTATGCACTTCTAACATAACAACTGAGACTTACAGCCCACTTTCTAGGTGACAATTTTTTTTCCTGTAAGAAAGTGGCTCCCTGCCCTGCATTACAGGCCTAAAGTAATTTGCTTTGGACAACCTGGACCTTTAAACTCCTCTTTTCTTTAGCCAAACACACTCTTTCTGTGCCTCTGAAATTCTGAATGCCATAACAAGCCCTTCCAAGTGCAATATTTTTAGGGTATTTCTGATGCTGAATTGATTTATTTCCCTTTCCTGAAAGGCACGCTGAGGAAGCAGGAATGGGTTATGCCAGGGATCGGTAAAATCCAGTGGTCTGAATCACTTGACTTCTGCCTGCACTCCCTACTTCCCCATGGATACAGCCAGCCAGCAGCACACTTACGTTTATGGTCTGACAAGTCTACCACTTCATATATATTCACTTCGCTCCTTTGTGTCTGAATGTGAATCTTCCAAGTTTGAAAATAGATAGCCAAGGGACAGGCATTCTTCTCTTGGGTATTAGGAAGAGAAGGAGCAGCACCTCTTGGTGCTTTGGTTTCCAGGTTGGTTTGGAAATAGCTGCCCAGGTATCTCCTGGCAGAAGACTTGCCCAGCAACCCCAAGTGCTGGAAGCTTTAAGAAACAAAAAGCTTGTAGGAATTACAGCCCTTGGATTCTACCACGTATCAACATCCGCTGTGACGTGCAGCAGTGTTCTCCTACAGACAGTAACACTGTTATCCTTAATGTTTTCTTTTTAATGTTTCATTTTTTCATTAGGCTTCATCTGTCTCGTCGTTACAGTCAGTTAAACAAGATCAAGAGGCTCAGCAAGCTTTGAGTATCAAAGAACAAAACTCTGACCTTGCCAGTCGCTAAAATCCAGCAGCAGAAAATTCTCCACCGCTGTGTCTGAAATACGATCAACGGGATCAGAGCGATCCCGTTACTGCAGCAAGGAACGTGCCCTAAATATGACATAAAAAGAAATGCTAGCCTAATGGCAGGATGATGACAACTCCAAATTTCTCACTTTAACATGAATCTGGTGTGCATTTTCCATCATAACCTTGGCATTAGGCCACATGGCCTTTCCCCACCTTTATATCTCCCAGAAGTCTTTCCAGTCCCTATTCTTGCCTGGCCACTCTCTGTTAGAACATCCTCCCCACTGGCTGATAGCCTGAAGCCAGGGGAAGGCTCACAAGAATTGTTCAGTGGGGCTTTGCACGTGCCAACTTTGATTTAAATGCCTAAATCCTTCCTCAGAATCTATTTCAATGAAAATCACAGAAGTAAGCAGTGGAATAAGTTTCATTACCCTCTTTAATTTTGTTCAGGAGAGGAATGGCCTGTGACCAAAGAGGAGTATGGAGGAAGTGCTGCTTCTCCAGAGGTTCTCAGCAGTGCCAGCAGCAGAGGAACTGTAACTCCACAGCGACTCTGGATTCCCAATTCCTGCAGATGATCCATATTGACACAGCGTGATTGCATCCCCCTCTACTGGTTAGCCCCAGACTGGGACTATATTTTGAACTTTAGAAACTGTCCTTTCACTGAAATTACAGCAATCTGTTGTCAGTGATGCAGCAGTTCAAACACTGCTGAGGTGTTTATTACAGAAAGCAGCTCAGAGTGGGATAACTGTAATTAAATGGCATTTTGGTAACTGTTATTCATGTCTCCAGTACAGAAGTATAAGTGCAGTTCTTGGAATAACAGTGCCATAGTTTTTTCTTGTTATTCTTACAGCACCCAGATGTCTATGACTTTAAATCCAAACTCGCTTTCAATCTGGTTTACTACAAAGTCTGAAGTCAAGGTTTCCTTACACCTTATCATAAAAGTCAAACTTTTGATTTTGCTTGCCTGACCCCTTAATTATTTGTGTTAATTATCAATTTACCATATATAGATACTATTCTGCAATGTTGAAAAGATCAAAATGTAAAAGAAGTCAGGCCTAACAAGACAAAAGGCAGTTCAAATAAACACTCTGCTCAAAGACAGAAGAAAAATAAAATAAACTTCCTAACGAGTCTTAGTCATGTTGAATTGTTAGAGCCATATAAGGAATGCAGTTTTACCCATCTGCTGTATTTAGATGAAAACTTATCACTAAAATCATACCATTTAAGGAGCAATGCCCAGTAAAGGACTAATCCACTGTAACTCAAAATGTACAGAAAAAAATACAGTGATAACCACGGCAAGAAATAGGTCAGAAAAGACTATACACAGACACTGAATCAATGCACAGGGCACACACGTTCTCACTCAGCCCAGGATTAGCTCAGCCACTCCTGATTTCCAGCCAGCCCCGTGTTACCTGGAGCAGCAACCATTCCTGCTGCAGGAAGCTTAGAAGGGAAGGGTTTATCTTACCTACTGTTACCACTCATTACAGCAAAATGCACAGCCCTCCTTCTCTTTCTCTGAACCCTCAGCCCAAGGGAAGGTCTGTTATGCCACGTATGGCCCTGACATCTGAAAAAGATACATCACTGCCTGGCTGACATACAGCACAAACTAAGAATCCTATAAATGTCAAATACTTTCAACACCCAACAAAATCAGCCCTCAATTTCAAGCTTTGCTTTGCCTCATGACAGATATAACTCCTAAACTTAAGCTTACTTCAGAACTCTATTTCAGTGATGGTTTTGATCCATTAAGTGCTTCTGCGTGGGTTTGATAGACCTGAGCAGAAGAAGGGCCAAAGCCCGGTTCCCCAGTCCAGAGTGGCCTGTTCTCCCTTTTAGCATCCTTTATCCATGTTCCAAATTCAACTGCTTGCAGTGCTTGTATAGAAAAACCCCCAGGGAGCATAAAGGTTTGAATAAACAAGAAGGAATCTTAATCCCAAGAGCATTTTGCACACAAACACATTAAAGAGGTTGTGGAAGTTGAGAGCTGTAATGGGAATGTATCAGCCCCAAATCATCATAAACTGGGGAGGTTAATAAAACAGCATGTTTTATTTATGTGTTTCCCCCCCACCCCACCCCAGTAACAGCCACTGCAAGGAGAGGTCACTGCAAGGAGAATTTTAACACAGTGGCCCTGAACATCGTATGCAGGCTGTGCCCTTCTGTCCTTATCTGAAAGCTGAGGGAGCAGTTCACTGCCAGGCTGGCCAAGTGAGGTTTGAGAGTCACTAGGCAACATTTCTTAATGAGAGACACTCCAAAGAGTGAGCTGGGCATGCCTCAAAGCCCAGCCTGGCATGGACCCACAGCCCAGGCTGCTCACTGCCCTGCCTCGAGGTGCAGGCTCTCAAGTGACTGAGCTGACAAACCATCAAACCTGCATTCTGTTGGAATACAGCTGGAACAGCCACTCTTCTGCCAAAAAATGATTTTGACAAAGGTGTGTTTGCAGAATCAAAGCCATTTCCTGAGAAAACAGGTGACCAGCACTTTCTGCAGAGAAAGCTGCACACTAAGGTAATGAAAACAGGGACAGAGCATTAATTAAATTGAAGGCAAATAATTCTAAAAGTTTTTTGTTTTTTTTTTTTTTTGACCAACAGCCCTGTTGCTGCTTTCTAAAGATAGATAAAACCAAAATCAGCTCTACATCTCAATAGAGAGAACTGGAGTGGGGGAGAGACAAAGGTAGGAATGAGTATGTTAGTAGCTAAAGGGAGACTGAACTGGACAAAACCTTCTGAACAAACCCAAAAAACCCAAGAGAATTAAAATCCCCACCTGGCACAGATCTGTTCTGGGCTCTGAGATGCCACTTTCTGATGAGGCTCTGAGCCTTGAGCTCTGCCAGCCACCAAGGGGAGGGGGCTGGGGGCTCACTCCCCAGCTCACACAGGTCTTAGTCCTCTTGCTTCAGCATCAGGTTATGTTTTAGCTCCCGCCATAAGGCAACTTCTTACCTTTGATCCACCCCCTGGAGACTTCCTCAGTTTAAGAGCTGTTTTCTGTCCATTTGGCAAAGATACTCCTCCCAAGCCTAAGAAAGCAATCCTGGTGCCTGCCAGAGCTCTGCTTGAGCCGATTCACTCGAGGAGGCCAAACGAAACTTCCCATGACCCAGTACATTTCAGAGAAAGCGTCAGGATCACAGGGCTAAAATAGTTTTCCTTGGCTATTGGATTTATTTTGGCTGTAACAAATATTTTGGCTTCCTTCCCTATCGGTTTGCCAATGAAAACACAGATCCAAGGTTTTCAGACTGCAGGATTGTAGCAATTCTGAAAAATGACAAAGTGAAACACATACCAGCTAATAAAGAGCTATTCATGCTCTAAATACCCTCTTGTGCTGCTCTCCACATACTGTAACTCAGCTTCTGGAAATACTGAGCCTGTTTGCCCTAACACTGATCTTGGTGATTTGTTCTGCAGCAAGTCACACGGATGCTTTCTTTACAATCAACCTCTCTGATTTCTAAGCAGTTTATTATCCCTGCCCCACAAAAACACAATGCTATCCTATTTTTTTTTTTTACTATTTGGATTTAACTGACATTGGGGAAGATAATTTACGGAACAGGCTACCAAACATTTTTTCACACTGGAGATGGTAGCCCAGTGTCATTAGGTGTCTCACTGACACTCATTTTTTTCACTCTTTTTTTTTTCTCTCTCTCCCCATTAATATTGGGATTATAACCAATGCTGTTATTGCAATATTCCCTTCCCTGGGAATCCACACACACAATTACTCTCCATAAACTTCTAGCAATGCTTCCTCCAAGTGCCCACCAGTGCAGCAAGGAGAGGACTCCCAAACTGCTCACCTCCAAACCCTGCCCACAACCTGGAAATGGAGCTGGATCTTTCCAACAATTGACGTACAGTACCAATTCTGCCCTTGGGACGTAGTCAATGACTCCAACAGTGCTGTATAAACCGATAAACCAACTCATATTTTTTAGCAAAACAGGTTTTTGTAGCTAAAGGTAAAAAAATGTGGACTGCTTGTCTGAAGAACTTTAAATTGAGATCTCATTAATCAATCTGTGGCTAGTTATATGAGTAAAAAAGTGAAAAGTTATCTCCCTCTAAAAACCACTGGGGAAAAAAGAGTCAGTCAAAGATGTCCTAACACTCAAGGCTAGGAGTGAGGTGGGGATATGAGTCTTTCTGCAAGATTCATCATTGTTGGCATTATTCTTAGAATATAACAGAAGTACCAACTGGCAAAATAATTTTATTGCACTATTAGTCCCTTAGACCCAGAATCTAAAGACCACGCTTTTACTTTCAGACTATGGATCTGAATCCTTTTACCATCTTTTACCCTGCTGGATGACCAGACTGACACAGAAAGAAAAGGAAATGATACACAGAGATGAGTGAGGGCACAGATTTCTCTGGTGATACCTTTCATAAATTCAACAGCTTTCTTTTTCCTCCCTTTTCCTCAACCTGGAATCTGAACCTAATACACTAAGTAAAGATCTGCAAGGACTGGAGCTCCTCTGGGATATGAGCAGCAGAAGCCTGAACTGCCAGAGATACTTCTCAACTCCTGCTCAAGGTGTTTTATAGAAGCCACGGTGCTACTCAGAATTTATTTTCCTCACTTCCAGACCAAAACTGCAGCCACAAGTTTGAATAAAATTCATAGTCTAATGAAAAAGCAGTAACTTACTATGATAAACTCAAGTGTAAGTTGATTTATTTGGGAAAAACAAGGTGCTTTAGGGATATGATGCATTATTAATGCAGTTACAGCTACTGGTGCTTTATCCAAAACAGAATTTCATGCTGGTTTTTTGCATCAGTTTCTTCACTATACGCTTCCCTAACAAAGAATTAAAAATAAAGTGTCTGAGTTTTTGGAAAGTGTGAAAATATCCAAGTATTCACAATGGACAGAATGAATGGAGGTTTCCAGACGGTGTCACTGAACTGGTTAAATCAGTGGCGCAGCAGCAGGAGCTGGATTCCAGCTTTCTATTCCACTAAGAGACACTAAATCTTCCAAAGAAGCCGATGCCACAAGAAATGTCACATATAACAAAACTACAAAGAAGCAAAGGACGTAAGATGGCCAGACAGGGGAAAAGGCTGATGCAGTTGAGCTAAGAGAAAATGACTCTACATTATGGTGGAAACCGAGAACAGACATGCTGAATTGAATACTGACTTCAGAGCAAAAGAACAAATGCTTTTTCCATTCAAGGCAGAGATAAAATGTCCACGTAAAACCTTGTTAATAATTGTCTATCCTCTCATAGTTCTGCCCACTAACTTGTTCTTTAAACTTTATTTAGCGTGTACACCTATTCTACCTAACCCAGAGATGCCAACTCATGTCCTTCCAGTGAACTGTCCCCTTACAGTTCAGACAGCAAAAGAGTTCAGTGAAATACAAAAAAATGCCTCACTCTCTCCATCTCGTGGGCACAAATGAGTGTAGCAGCACGTGCTTGACCTAACTACAGCGAACCTCGACTCAGGCAAACTTTTTATCACGTGCAAGGATATGTTTATACGCAGGAATGTTTTCTTAACACGCGCTTAAAACTTGAATCGTGCGTTTTAAATCCCACTGACTGAATTATCTGTGACACCGGGCTGTCCCTCCAAACACTTATTGAAACTACTCGAACACGTTCGGTGTCGGTTCAAATTCCCCCTCGCGATAATCGCGGAAACGAAACGCGGCACCACTAAAAAAAAAAAAAAACACCAGAAGAACGACACGAAGCCGTCAGCTTACCCGCTGGTGATGTCGTCAGCTCTGATGTTCTTGCCCAGCACGTCCCCGTCGCTCATGTAGCCGGTGGCGTCCATGGCGATGCCCTCCAGGTCCATCTCGTCGCCGCCCTTGTCCGAGATGTCCACGTGGCAGACGCCGCTGCCGCGCGACGCCAGCTGCCGGCGCAGGGGGGCCGAGTACACGTAGCGCCCGGGCTCGGCGCTGGTGAAGCGGCTGGCGTTGCCCCGGGGCGGGTACCCGTTCCCCATGGACGGGGCGTCGCCCGCCTGCAGGCGAGGGCTGGACTGCCCCAGCCTCCAGGACAGCGGGGTCGGGCGCCCCGTCAGGCTGAGGATGCTGCGGCCGCTGATCTCGGTGGTGACGTTGGTGTCGAACGTGGTCTCCAGCGTGCTTGAGGGGAGAGAAACAACGAAACAAAACAAAAAAAAAAAAAAAAAAAGAGATGTGCAGGATTAAATGCGGCTGCTGAGGTTTCAGGGGGCTGCAAGACCTACGGCCTGAACGCTCGCCAAGTTGCAGGTTGCGAGGAACAGCACTGACAGAATTCACCTGCTGCAAAGCTCTGTCAGAGTGGGAGTGAGGTCCATTCCTCCAGGCACTCAGACCTCAGGTGCTCAACGATGCAGGAACTTTTTAATGGATTATCCACAGTATCAAAGCATAACTTTTTCATCTTCAGTCATATACAACTCCATTATGCCATGGGTTTGCTGCTCTAGGCAAGGGAGTGGGACAATAAGATGGCTAAAGAAAAACTAGCTGAAGTACTACTTTTCTGATACATTTTCTTTTTTTTTTGGTCTGCATTTATTAAAGTCCTAATATTCTGGAGATGTGTCCAGCACTGAGACGGAAGCTATTTCTACACTAAGGAGAGGCCTAAATGAAAAAAAGTAAAAAGAAAGGAGAAAAAAAGTCTCTTTCAAAATGTATTTTATATATCACCAAACCAATGAATGAACTAGCAATAGTTTTGAAGTTGCTCAAACCCAAACATGGGAGTAAACCCAGGAAAAATATTTAATTACTTACATATATGCATGACTGGGGTATATTTTTAAGAATATTGGTATTATTTCTACATGGAACCCTAAAAATGGGACTGCTCCACCATGACACCTCAGGTGATGTGTATACATTGCAAGACTTCACCCTGAATACTCACAGCTTCCTTGCAGCTAATCCACAGCTGCAACTTCTCTTGCCCACATGAACTCCTCTTTTCCTTTCCTGCTCAACTGTGTCCCTTTTTTTTTTTTATTATTGTGGATATTTGTTAAAATAAACAGCACTGTACCATTCACAATATAATGCTGCAGAAACCCACGTATCCTCTGGTTACAGTAATTAAGTCATAACAAGTTGACGCATTAATTGAAATTTGAAAAGAAAAACAGCACTGGGAGTTTATCTTTGCAAGCTCTGCCTCAGTTTTAGACATAAAGCCAAAAAACAAAGCGTGCCCCCAGTGAACTCATTTAGGTCTGGAGTCCATAAGGCCCAGAACTCATTAGGGGCCAAACAGCTTATTCTCCCAAACCTCCTGTTCAACACTGAAAAGGTCTAAGTCACGGAATGTTTAAATGCAATAGCAGTCATTGTTTATTTACAGCATATTTTAAATATTGCTGAAGATTTCCAAATGCTGCTTCACAAAATAGAAGCAGTTAAATACACGGATGACTAGCAAAATCACAAAAATTTGTTTGACCAAAGACTGGTCAGGAATTCAAGGTATCCACTTGATAAAGTGGGTCAAGCACAGTTCACCTGCTTATTTTAACAAAATATTACACAGGGGAGGTGGGGGGGGTGTAATGCACTTCAGCTATTCAATAGTAAGATGAAGAGACATTTTACTTATATTCAAACATCACCTCACACATTTAACAAGAACTGATTATTCTCCGCCTCTTACTCTGTACACAGTGCACCCCATCAATTACTCATCAGACATCTCAGCAACCAGTGGACAATATGCAGAACCAGTGCACTACAGACAATAATTACAAGACCAGCATCTTCCACTGTCAGTGTTGATCATTTTTCAAGGATGCAACCCAGCCAGGTCTAAGAGGTGGAAAGAGAGAGCCCAGTGATTTCTGTTTTCTCGTGGACAGGTGTCCCGTTACCTGTGAGTGACCTGGGTTCCCCTCAAGCTGGACATGGTTTCCTCCAGGTTCTGCCGAAGGTCAGCGATGTTCTTCACAGTCCGTAACCGCCGCGTCTCTGGGTCCTCTCCTGCAGGGCAAGACAAGCCATGAGAAAGGCTAAGGCAGGAAACAGCACAGAACCCAGCTGTTACCTGTGCCTGAATCTGGCTCAGACACACTTTTTCACTGACTTTATAAACACTTTAAATTGATTAGGATTGAAGTTCCATTCCCTTCTGCATTGTCACATCCTGACTGAGACAAGCTCTGTGTGGTCAACTTCATTGCCCAGGCTGCCTTTGGGATGTTGCTGTGTTGTCATTTTCCCATATGACCCAGTTTAAATTCTGGTTAACTTTCAACCTCATTAGAATACACACTCCATCAATACCACCCTTTCCATCTCGCATACTGACACAATTAACATCAGCCTGACACTGCCAACTTCTCCAATGCTGTATTTCCACTAGATCTTCTTTTTCCTATTTCAAATAGAGCTCATTCTACAGTAACAGCTTTCCAGTAAACTAAACTGTGCTGACTGGCTGCTCCATGCTGAGTGATGTTTCAGGTGAAACAGCAAAAGTTCTTCCTTGTCAACAGCACAGCACAGTTGCTGTTACCCAAATGTGCTACGTAATACAGAGCTGGCAGATGACTTAGTTCTCATGGCATTTAGAAACCCTGCTTTTTTAATACTCCGTTCTAAAACACATTTATGTCCTGCTCCTTAAAAGTACAGTTTACGTAAATGAAAAAGTCCTCCTACTGCCTCAGTGTAATTTATTTGCATGCTCTCAGCTGCCAATTCAGAAATGCTTTGGTTGCTACCTCAGCTGAGCTTTATAGAGTTAAACCTTCTAAGAGGCTGAAGAGAAGTGAACTTCTAGTAGTGCCAGCATGTTCTTTGTAAGCTGAAAGCTGGAACAGAAAAACTCCGAAAAGTCATCACAAAGCTTCTTTTGGGCACAGAAGGAAGTGATTTCATTCTAAAGGGTTTACAACTCATGACTAGAGAAAATACTACAGTAAATGTAAAACTTTTTGCATTTTGTATCCGCCTTGTCTGTACAAGTGATGCATTCTTAAGCTGCCAGAATCCTGGTCATCCATACCATTGCGAGTTTAGATGGATATCTATATATTACAGACATCAGAAGTGTTAAGAACCAGCTAAATAAGCTGTTCTTGGAACTTCCTACATTCTTTGTTTTATATTTCTTGTTTCTAAAAGATGCCAGGTTGGTGGCACAGAAAAACACAGTCACACACGCTGCTGCCCACAAAGCAGCAGTGGCACAAATTACAGACTAAAGTGCTTAGTGTCCATGTTAGCAATTTTTTTTCCTCAGTCTCTACTCCCTGGGAAATCATCTCCCTGAGTTACAATTCACTTAAGCCAAAGGGTCAAACAATTATGGTCTGTTTCTGGACTGGAAACATCCACCTAACAAAACAAGACTGATTCCTTTAGCCAAAGGGTCTCTGGGACAGAAAACATTTTCTATACTCATGGATCTACAAATTTTTGCAGTAAAGAACATAAAATATTCATAGGCCTTTAGCTTAACAAAGGTCACAGTACTCTTTTACAGATCATTTCTCTCATACATACGAAGGCAAACAGTAGGGAACTTCTTAGGAGAACACACAGGAGACAAACTAAACCCATTTCCATTGAGATCGCTCTTAAGCCTAAATTCATACCAAATTTTCACTTAAATTGTATTCCACTGCTTAAATTACAGGTATACTTAAAAGGCAGATATCGAATAGTGCAACTAGAACTTAATTATGGAACCACTTAGCTCCTCATGAGCAGGCAGGATCCTGAAACAATTCCACTTCCGTTTTTCCTACCCATGCCCTCTTTTGTTTTATATGTGCTTTTAAATGAAAAGCTGTGCAGGGAGAAAATAAATCTGTCCCTCACTACTTCTAATTCAATTGGGTTCAGGGACTGTTTTGTCTTGTTTGCTCTGTTTCCCCCAAGACCCCTTTCTGGATGCTGCTGTTGGGGTCTGGCTGTGCACAGCTGGGGTTTGCATCTCTTGTTGGAGGTTGTCAGCTGTCTTCCGCTTTTGGATCCCAAAACTTATATATCACATGTAAGTAATAGTTTGTGTTTACATAACATCTGTCATTAAAGACTGATAGAGACCCTTTTGTAGTCTATAAACTCTTCTCAGTTTACAGGCTGAAATACATCCCAGCTAGGCAACATGATGATTAAGAGGTAATACTGAAAAAAACCCTTGAGTTTCTTACTTTGTACTCTTATGAGTCCAAAAACCCTGTCATGGATTTTATCCCTTGAGCTATTTCTTTGCCTTTCAAGTACTTAATCCACCTATATATAAATTGTACACACAGATACATTCATTTATGCATTCCTGAAGCTCTTTTCCTCCCCGACTCCTCTGCCTCTCACCTTTGCCATCAGCACACGTGCACACAGGTATAAAGGCAGATTTGACAGAATATGTAATGCAGTATGAAATTAACCTGATGGTGAAACTTTGAGCCACATCATTTTCCAAGAAGGGCATTCTTGGAAAGTTTCAAAACCCACTTTAAACTGGAGGACTCCAAGACCAAGTAGATGAAAACAAAACCTGATATATTCTACAGATTGGATAAATGCAAGAGCATGCAGTGAGCAAAGTCATTGATCTTGCTGAAATTATGCAGGAGGAGATTTGACTGTGACTTTAAAAACACATTTTAGATCAAATCAGTAGAATCTAGTAGATTCTACTGTACAGCTACACATTAATAGAATATGGTTGCTAAAAATGGCTTTGTTATACTGATAAGCTTAAAACATTTTTGCTAATTATCATATACTTCTTAGAGTAGTAGGAATTCCAGATAAATACATGAAGTACTTTCTAATTTAGACTGCTAGTATTCCAGCAACAATCAGCTTCAGCTTCTGTATATTGGACAAGGTAAATTGTAGCTGGATTTTGGTCCCCTGCTGCTGCAAAGGCTGTTTCTCAAATTGATCAGATTCACGTGAGTGACGCTGAGATTCCCTCAAACCTACAAACAAACCAAAACCTCAAGAAAATGAACTTGATCTTAAGCTCTGAAACAAAGTTTTTAAATGCAAACAATAAATATCAAATGCTCGGCAGTAACTTAGGATCCTTATAACAGCTTCATCCTAAAAAAATGCTGCCTGTCTCCTAGAGAAACATTAGGTACACAAAATTCCTAATGATCTCAAGGAATTTGAGGAGCACTCTGTTGTGCTGGACTCCAGCATCTAGCATTCAAATTATTGACACTCAGTTTCCAGTGCTGACGAGCTGAAAGAAATATCATAACTCTTGGGAACTAAAGCATTAGGAACAAAACCAACTTGCTTTAGCCCATTCTTATTTGGCCAGACCACAGTCAGTAACTGGTCACATTGCCAGGACATACCTGAGAGGTCTTCGAGAGCAGGCTGGGCAGTTTTGACATAAAGGGCAGAATCCATGCTGACCCCTCCTGTGCTGGCCTCGGCTGTTACGTTCCCTTCATTGTCCTTCTGAGATCTGGGAGGCAAAACAAAACAGGGATGTGCAGTCACTCCCCATCAAAAGTATCTCCAGTACAACGAGGAGACGAGTGCACCTGCCATCAGCCACTCTGTCCCACTCTCCAGAACAGAGCAGCAGGCTGATTTTACATAATTCATTAGTCCCATGTTGAATTACGTCCTAGAAATGGAAACAAGCACTCAAGTGTAAAAGATAAAAAATTCATAGTCAAAGATAGGCTTCACAGCTCTCCAGACAGGGCCTTAAGACATTTGGATTTCCAGCTGTATTTTAGTTATCAATAACATCAGTTGTCCTGGCTAATTTGATCCTCTCTAATAAAGTCTGTACTGCATGAAGATAAAGCAGGTAAGTGTGTGATGGCATGTCACACTCCTGCTACTTTCCCTTCAATAACTAGCATTTGTATTTTAAAAGAAATGACTGGGTAAAAAAAAAAACAACTTCAAACTCCAACGTCTGATATTGTGGGTGTCAGGTAATGAACGCTGGTGTTGTGTGAATATATTGTCAGATTTGAGTAATAAATTGTGACTCATTTCACTTTGTTAATAGTGCCGTGTTTTGCTCATAGAGCCACAAAACCAAGCCTCTGGAAGTTCTCCCGCCCAAGGGGAGGACTTTTGCTGTACAAAAGCGAAGACACAGTGCAAAATGACTATTGCAATATTCCTAATTTCAGCTGACCCTTGCAGGAGGATGCTCTGCCTGAAGTGGGTGTAAAACACCTTGAACAATACCCTCTTTTCAAAGCTGTTGGTGGTGAAAGGAGAAAGGGGCCTCATGCTGCTGAATTTTGGTGTTGAATAACGTTGAAACCAGCCTGACTTATTAATCCCAAAGTTAAACATCCTGATAGTGAGGTGAAGATGTGGCAGCCCTGATGAAGTACCTGATAAAGGAACAAACAAGTGATATAATTCCTTCAACATTCCTTCAGAACAGTGCACTATACTATACCAGCAGTTATAGCTTCCCATACTCTGTAGTAAATAATTCTGATTAAGGTATTTTAGGCTAATCATTATCATAATAAATAATTTATCTTTGTATAAATATATCTGCTTTGCCATCCTTAACCCTGCAGGACAAAGTTACATACAAGTTCAATTGTATATAATCCTTTAGGCATGAACAAAGCTGACAAAGTCTGGGGCTAAGACTGGGTCCAGCTGCACCTGGACTCCTCTCTGAGGAAGAGTTTAGAAAGCAAGAGGGTCCTTTCTGCACCTTGAGACTCGACCAGAGTAGGTATTAAGGAAGAGAAGGATGTGATAGAGGTCCCTCAAATCATGAGCAGAAGGAAGATGATGAAGACAGAATAACTGCTTGCATCCTCTTCCTATGAAAAAATTAAGCGGTGTCAAAGAAAACTAAAAGACATCTGTCCAAACCAAAAATGCCACCATCCAACCGAGGAGCTTCTTGTGTTCCCAGTCACGTGTCTTTAGGAATCTTTGCTATTGATTTCCCTCTTGTCTAACTTCCACTGTCTAACAGAAGATGCTTCAAGCAGAAAACTGACCAGACAAAGGTTAGCTGTGACCTCATTTGGCTGCTCTTTTGCTGATCTCATTCAGGGTTAATGCACAGAACAGCAGACTTGTTGTGTGCCCCTACCTATACTAAGTGATGTTTTTTAATAAATTTTTTAATTTCCCATCCCTGCTTATAGTGAAGCATCTCCACCACTGTTGGCCACACTGAAGACCACGAGTGTATCTACGTCACAAATTGGTGGTGCTACAACTTTTAAAGCCATGATGCAGAAAACAAACCTGATACATGTTCTTGTACCGTGTGGAAGAGCAGCACCTGCTCGAGAAGGTGTTCAGATTCTCATCTTACCTATTAGTAGGGGTGGCTACCACAATCGTTCCCCCTCCTATCTATCACGACATCTTGGTCTGACAGCCTTCACCCTGACTTTTTTTTGTGTAAGGGTATAAATTGTCTACTCTCTTAAGGCAAGAACTTTTACATGCAACAGCATTTACACCTCGTTGCTTCACATCCCACACCTCCCCCTCCCCGAAAAGAGCATCCAGAATGAACCTCCCCGAGCATCCCACTGGAGGATCCTCCCGTACCTGTACATGAAGGGGGCGACCGTGGCGGTGTTGGGGTGGCTGTATTGCTGCTGGGGATGAGGTAGCTGAACGCTCACAGTATTGCTCCCTGTGGTGTGCGTTGTCACGGCGGGCCCGTTCACAGCCTGGCTGCTGCTGCTGCTGTTGAGGCCTCCCACGCCTTTTCCCTCGGAAGAAGCCAGGCTGGACGAGGAGCTGGAGTGACGGCCGTCCAGCTGGGACTTCTGGTGCGAGAGCCCCGAGCCGGCCTTCCCGCCGCGGCTCCTCTCGCCTTCCTTTGCGGGGACGGGGGCACTTGAGGATTTCCCTGTGGTGTTTTTCATTCCTGGTTTTGGTATTCCACTGTGCGAAGGGGCAGAGGCCTCCTTCTTGGCACTGTTCAGCTTTCCTCCTTTAGGGATAAAGCTTGCGATCTTGGAGGACTTTTTTGGCATCTCTGTTGTTGCTAGTGCTGTCTGTTCCTCTTTTGGTTCCTCTTTCAGGTCCAGCTTTTCGGTGATAGATGTTCTCTTTGTAACGTCTTTACTTTTATCCTTTTCCTTCTCTTTCTGTTTCTCCTTCTCATTACCCTTTGGAGAACTTTTCTTATTAGTTAGCGCCCGGCTGAAAGTCCTTTGTGCAATTCCCTTGAGTGCAATTTTGGGACTACTGGACATCGACCCCGGGTTGTTCACGTTCTGATTGGCGGCATCGATCTCCTCGCTCTCCTCGAAGCTGAGAAGCGCCTCCAGCTTTTCACAACTGTTGTCCCGAGACCCCGGAGCCTCCAGCGCCGTCCCTCCCGCTTTGGAACCTCCTTTGCTGTTGAAGAGTTTTAGTTTCTCGAGCATGGATTTCTGACCGTTGGGAGTCGTTTTGGCGATTTCCGAGGGCGGCTTTGGAGGCTCCACCGTCGGCTGCTTTACGGATAACATGGAAGACGTAGCTGTGTGCTTAGCACTGAGGGACTTGCTGCGCCAGGGTTTAATAGCAGAGCTGGGCTGAGGGATGGCTGATGAGTTATTGCAACTAACAGTGCTGCCGCAGCCCTGAACTGAGGATGAGACATTTTCATTCATTCCTGTGGGCTGGGAGGCTGTGCTGTCTGCAGGCTCTGGGGAAAAAAAAAAAACCCAAACATAAAAAAACCAACTTAAAAAATCCAACGCGGTAGTAGCTGGTGTTACAGTTAACGTAACATTATTTCTGTCATGAAACATTAAGAATTTTACACCAGTGTCATTAAAAAGACACCTATCGGTGTTTTCAGCGTCAGTGTGATTTAGAGAAAATAAAAGCCAGTTTTCTTTTCCTACCCAGCAGAACAGCAATGAGCTCCTACTGTATAATTTACATTTACTTGCTGTTTCAAGAAGGAAAAAAAAAAATCTCTTCCAATTCAAACCAAAATGTGTTTTGCAATGTGTTCTCCCTTATTAAGTCCACAATACGTTTTCATTAGCAAAACACAGCACTATTTTCTAACTAGGGGTTCCCTCTGCTTTTGGCAAAATACTTGCTGTCCAAGTTTGATTCTTAGAAAAACCTCAAACATATAAAGAAAAAAAATGCAGGAGTAAGGAAAAAAAGCAAAACTGAAGTCTTTTCAGTTATTAGGGGTGGTAAGATTTTCATATGCAAAAGGTAGAAGAAAACTCCACATACAAAAATAAAACCAACTGTGTCCCTTTTGCAATGAACCTAAATTAAGCATTACTACATATCTTAATCCAGCTGCAAGAGAAACTTGTGCCAGTAACTGTACAGCCCTCCCCTCGCAGAGAAAACAAATCTTTTATTTAGTTAGTTCCTCCTAATGTTATTTGTTCTTTTTGAGAAACTATTCGGAGCTTAAAGAGAGCTTGAAAAAAATCACACTCACCTACCAGTGGCCACTTCTCCTCTGAAGTTTCTTTCTGCTGAGTTTCCTTTCTGGAGATGTTACTCTCTCAATTATCACAAATATGTTTTCTGTTAAACTGCTCATGTTTCCAATTAAGTTTTGTCATCTGTGTCTGTTCCCCTGCCCAGCAGCCTGCTGGGGATTAACGGCTCTTACCTATATTTCCCTGCCCTCTCGCACTAGAGTAAACTGTGTACAGAGCTGCATTTTTTTAATTCAAAAATCAACAGCAGCGGAGAGCGTGCGTTCTCGGCGGCAGGAGCAGCCCTGTGAATCCAGCCCTGTAAATCACGAGCTGCTGCAGCCACACAGCGACTGCTTTCCCTCACTTTCAGTTGCTCAGTGAAGATACGGCTCTGTTAACCTCCCTCCCGTGATCCAAAGCAGATCTACTGAAGATTTAGAGCACATACATCTTCCTGTCTTAACGCAGAATCAGGTTTCTAAGAGTGCTAGAGGCTTCTTAATAATAAACTCAGCCATTTCACATGGTTATGGACAAAGTGGGACAGTAGGAAATAACGATACTTAAAAAAAAAAAAAAATTACTGAAGTCAGAAGATTTCCAGGACTCTGTTATTAACCAGCAACTATTACACTAGCCAGGTTTGCTAGTCCTTTTCCTATGGCAAACTACCCACATGGAGCTGGGAGGAAGCACGAGCTGGATTACAGACACAGAAAGGAATCACGCCTCTTTTATGCTTGTGCCAGCCTGCTGACTTCCAGGGCACTGCTCCCAGTTTACTCTAGCACAGAAAGAAAACCAAGCCAGCAAATGTCCCAAAAGGTAATGGCCACCTGGTCCTCTGGTTGCTCTGCTCAAGCCTTCTGAACCCAACTCAAGAAGTGATGGCATAGGAATCGTAGAATCATTAAGGTCGGTAAAGATTTCCAAGACTGAGTCCAACCATTAAACTGGCACTGCCAAGCCCACCACTTAACTCTAAGCACCATATCTACACCTTTTTGAGCAGTTCCAGGGACAGTTGATTCCATCGCTGCACGAGACACAGCGACTCCCAGTGCAAGGGGCAGCAGTGACCTGCCATCGCAGACACGAGAGAGGAAGGACGGTGACAACTTCTTCACAAGCTGCTGGCAGTGCTCCTCCCCCTGCTTCCACAAGCTGTGCACCACTGCCCTTCCCTTCATGTCTCTTACCCTACACTGCTGCTTTGTTATTATTTTTATTTCCTGGAGCCCTCCTACTCATCCCAGTCCACTTCCCATTGCCACACCACGCCAGGCTCCTTTTGTACACTCGCAACAAGCGAGCCTTTGTCTCAGCCTGCCTTCCCCAGAAGACACCCAGCAATGCAGTGAAAGCTTCATGAAAATCCCAGTTGTGCATAATTTACAGTTAGTTTTTATAGATTATTTTTAAAAACAATAAACACAGAGTTAAATATCGAGATTCTGCTATGGAAACTGGAGATTGACAGTACTTCCAGCACTAAGTTTCTAATCCACATGTGTTCTGACCTCATCATTCTCAACAAATCCCACGGCAGCACAAAGTATACTCATGCCCAGAAATCACCAGAGCTGCCTGGGATTCATGAACATGCCTAGGAGGGATTTACAACCAGGTCCAGGGAGGAACCTTGATGTACTAATCAATATGGGCAGAGAAGCCTTTACTTGTTCAAAAAACAGGACTGGGACAATAATAAGGGTGACAAAAAGAAAATTACCAGTAAGGGATGTAACTACAAAACAGAAGAGCTGGTTGTACACTCTGTTAGTACAACATACGCAAAAGCAAACTCAGCTCAGGGTCTGAGCACGCAGCCACCCAAACAGACTTGGAAAAGAAATCTGCCTTCTTCTCAAACAGGTCCTTCACAACAGTTTACCAGCTCTACAACGTGAACTGAATGGAAGTTGTTGGGTCATTTGGGACCTCAGCTTCATCCTAACAGCCCAGATGACTGCTCCAGTGCACAGACTTCTGGGAGGAAAGGCTTGGTTTGGATCAAGTGAAATGGCTTGTTTTCCAAATCCCAAAGCATTGCTCAAAATTTATTTCCCAGCAAAATCCAGAACTTTTCAATTTCTCTTTTTTTTTTTTTTTTCCCAAATGTTTTCAGGAAATTAATTAATTAATTAATCCTCTTTGGTCCCTGACCAAAATAAGCTTTTTTCAGTTTATTTGTTTATAAACACAACGTTCCTTTGTCCCAGCTCCCCCACATACACCCTCCTGTTTGGAACTGAATTTTGCTTCCGTTGCCAGTGGCGTAGGATGAGCACAAAGTAGCTCCATTTACAGACAAGTCAGAGAGATCAGAATTAGGACAACAATACTATGAATGTAACATTAAAAAATATATATTTATACTGGGACATTAATGCAATTTTCAGAGTCTCTGTTTTCCACAAAGTGAATTCTGGATGCTACACATCTGAAATGAATGAAAAATATTTACAAGCTCTTAATATACATGTTAAGCAGCAACACTTTGGGAAGGAAAAGAAAATACTTTCTCACACAACTGCAGTGGATTTTGATTCACACTTGGGCCAAATACAGCAAAACTGAAAACTGACAATCCTCCAGTAATTTTTTACCTTGCACCATGCAAAGCTACTGCAAGAAATGAAACACTCTCATGAAAAATTGCCTCAGCTTAAGAAAACTTCACTTTTAAAGATTCTCTGTTTCTTTTTTACGAACAAGTCTGCTGGCTCTTTCACTCCTCTGACCAAGCCTGGTAAAGGAAAGGAGTTCTGCTGCCAGAATGCAGCTTCAAACGCTGGGTTTCCTAATGAAGCAGTAACATCAATTCGTGGGGAACACATCAGCATGCAAAGGGGAAAGTTTTATTCAGCATAGCATAGGCCCTTCTTTCATGAAAAGGAGAGCAGGTTTCATGCATTCAATTAATAAGCTTATTATTTCCCATGTGTTTCTTTGTGAGGGAGATATTTTCTTTCTTCGGCAAGTTGCATTAACTAAAACTGACTATAAAAGAAATGTTTTCAAACCCAAGCTGCAGTCTACAATAAATAATGATCGCTTTCCTCTTTTCAAGGTCAAATCTTGGCCCGAAATCTATTTTGTTCCTGTTAAAAAAGATGTTGGTGGTCTAGTTCCAATGCCAATGCACACTGTAGCATGGGTAAATCTGATTTCAGCTGCTCCTGCAAAGACTGAACTGCATCTGCAAACCTACCCATTTGTGAGGGGAAAAAAAAGAATCTGAAGGCTTATGGTTTAATTCTTCCACTGAAGTCTTTGAGAGCTTATTTTATAATAAAGTCAGGAGCAAATATATGCAATTTCCCATCATTTGTCATGTTCACTCCAAGTAAGTGGACTTTGATTTGTTATAACTGAAAACTTTCAAAAACCATCATTATAAGCATGAAAGGCAACACACTGACAAAGGATGTTCTCATAGTTACTTCTCCTTAGGAGGGTCAAGAACTTAACAGCATTTTTATCCATTTTCAAATGAACAAACTGTTATTTTTTTCACTTCACAGCTATGGGAAAAAATAAGAAGCTCTTATGAAGAGAAATAGTCCAGCCCATAGATTAGATAACAGATACAATAACAAGTCCACAATTCTAATTTAGGAAATAAAAGCAGCTCTGCTCTATGACATTAGAGTGTCAGAACTGCAGAAACCACTGTGACAGTTTCATCATTTCCCATCCTGAAGAATAAATGGTGAATCTTGACCCTTCCCATCCACCCACCAGACAACTACCCTTAAAAGCACTACAGATAAAGTCCTACAGAGAAAAATCTTTTTAGCTGTGCTGTTCTGTTCTTCAGTAATCATTTATCATGCTCAGCAACCCCTGGAAGTACGGAAATGCCTGCATTTCTCCAGGAGCTGACTATAAAAATCACAAATCTTTCCGTAATCCAAACCACAAGCAGGTAGGGCAGAACATTCCCAACAGGAGTAACCTGGCACACAGTCCTTCCTCAACATCAGCACAACCCTTCTGGCCCACAGGAGTTTCCATTTCAATTTGAACACTGAGAGGACAGGAGAGAAGTACAGCTGGGTGGAAGGGGCTGGCTGAGACAGGGCTCAGGGGGGGCATGGCCTCCACCCACAAGATGACTGAAGCTTTCTGTTCTCTCTTCTATTCTGGACCACAGAAAAAAGCAACAAAAATTAATTTTTAATTTTTTTTTTTTTTTTTTTTTTTTAAAGCAGAGATTGCCAAATAGGGAAATTCTGCATAA